CTTGGATTCTCATGGCCTGTGTTTTGCCAAATGACCTACATGACCCTCCAGGCAAAGGTCTTAGCTTTCAAGTCAGTAGTTCAATCCCAATGTCTATGTATAGCTCTATCCATAACTATGTCTCCTACAAGCCCCGATACATATGAAGTTAGGTTGGAAGTATTGCTAGAAATCTTTATGAAACAAAAGACATCAAAACATGAAGCTACGGTTTCTTGACATAACCTCGACCTCGCTAAGCAGAGACCTGTGTGAACACTTGTTGTTTGACGTAAACCCCCGTGCATTTATGAACTGGACCCCTAGTAGCAAGACCTTTTGACTTGCCCGGGTTTGTGAGTACTCGTGCAGTATTCTTACATCCGTATGTAGAGATAGTCACACCCATCCGTGCCTGTGTGTGTGTCTCCTCACACGACTTCGCCACCTTTGTAGGACACGTATTCACCGACGCATCTGCTCGCAGGTCACTGGTCGTCCGTGCCGCCTGTTGCTGTGTATGCCGTGTGGCACACAGCATGCGCCTCTCACTCTCTTCCTCCGCCTTGGTCCCGTGCTGCTGGCTTCCCCATCGGGTGTGTGTCTTGCCTTTCCCGTCGCCAGAATGGACGCACTTGTGCGCTATAGGTTCTGTTGTGCGGTTGCTGCTGAGAATGCACAGCCAAACACACACCAAGTCAACAACGGCGTCTGCACACAATTCAGGGCCTTGGTGATGCGCTTAGAGCTGAGCAACCTGCCTCAGGCTGCTTCTCCGAGTTGTCCCTCCCTCACGGGCATAAGCTCACTGCCCCCCACCCCCCCACCCCGCCCCCACATGCCTTTCTAACCTCTCTGGTCGCTCTTGCCCATCTGCTCTCACACCCACTGCCTGCCAGTGATGTGTGACAGCGATGCTGGCTCAGAGCGACCCTTTTGGACAGGGTAGAACCACCCCTGTGGGTTTCCCAGACGGGAACTCTTTTCAGGAGTAGAAAGCCCCTCTTTCTCCCGCTGAGTGGCTGATGGTTTCCAACTGCTGCCTTGAGGGTTCGTAACCCCACTCAATCGATCGAAACCACCACACCAGCAGGCCCCCTTTGATTCTAGACAGGCAGTTCTTAAAGGACCACAGTGCTCGAAGCAGACCTTATTTTTTTAAACTAGTTTAGATAACCCGTTGTTTGGTTTTTAGACGTCTACGGGGTTCCTAAAGGTATTTTGGGGTGACGGTCAGTGAGGATCACCCTTAAGGAATGGGCAGCTCTGGTGCAGAGGGAGATCAGGGTCAACTTCCAAGGCTCCTGGGGAATCTAGCGCACCCTGGGGTCTGTCTCCTGGACCTGCTGTCTCCGTGGACTCCTGGAGGCCTCAGACGGATGGGAGGGTGTCTAAGAGGCACAGCCAGAGCAGAGCAGAGCAGAGGAGACCCTCATTCTCTGACTGGTCAGATTCTGAGGCTCCCTCTGCCCCCCATCGTCACCCTCTTCCCCAGTCAAGCCAGCACTAACTCTCCTCTTTGGCTTGAAGCCTCCCTTGGTGCTTTGCCACTAAAACCAGGCTGCCCATGTCAGCCTAGGTGGGGGTTCAAGGAAGAGGCAGAGGTGTACCCTGGCTGGAAGCTCCAGGACCAGCCCTGGCTCCTGATTTGGGCCAGCATGGAGCTAGGAATGGGGAGCACCCTGGGGCCCGTCAGCTTGACCGTAGGGTGGGGGCACAGCCTCACTTGCCACCTGGCTTCAGGGTCCCCTTTGCACTCAGCCAACTGGCCACCCTTCCACAGGCAGCTGGATCAGCCCTCATCCGAGCCCCACAGAGCTGCCCCATTCCTACAGAGCCTCAGAGAGAGAGCATCATGGGACCACTGGGTCCCATTGAGCAGGCATGGTCGCCTGAGCATCACTCGCTCTGGCTGGTGAGGGCCATTCCTGGGCTCTGTCTTCTCCTTTGGGACTGTATCCCTGGACTGCAGAGACGCTCCGAAACTCCCTACTCCCCTGCCTGTTCAGGCCGGAGCCCACCATTGTTCTGGAAACAGTGCAGCCTGTGCCTTCCAGGGGCAGCTGCAGGAGGAAAAGCAGTGTCGTGTGTGTGTGTGTGTGTGTGTGTGTGTGTGTGTGTGTGTGTGTATCTGGCTGAGACCCAGACCCGGAAGCCGGGAGGTCTGTCAGGCTTAAGCCCGAGGTCTGTTCTCGCTTGCCCCACATGGGGCGGTTGGAGGGACTTGTGTTTGCTGCAGGATTTCCGGAATTTTTCCATTGGCTGTGTCTGGAAATAAACAGTCTCCTTCCCCCGCACCCCTGAGAGGAGAACCGAGCTGTGCTGGCTGCCATGTGGGCGCACCCCCACGCCCACACACCCCACCTGGCACCCGCACACTTACAAACAGGAGCTGGGCTTCCTGAACAGGCCCCTCTCATAAAGATCCCTTGTGTCCTGGGGCCCCGCCAGCCTGGCCTCTGGGAAGCCTTCTCTCCTCACCCCCTGGAAAGCCCCACCTGAGCGATCACCTCTGAGACAGCTGTTTCCTGGCCACGGCCACAGCCGAGGCCACTGCGGGCCTCTCGCTGCATGTGGGTTTCCTGTTTCCCCTAAGACTGTGCGAACTCTCCCGTTGGGCCGGAGACTCCCTGCGGGCAGGGGCCGTGCCTCCGCCTCCTCCCCCACGGGGCTGATCCGTGGCTTCAGCTACCAGAGGACT